CCCACTAGTCTACTTGTATTGGTACTGACTGTTCCTTCGATGTGAATTCTTTCTTCTGAATCGGTAAATCGTGTTTGTTGATGATTGCTGATTCACTTGAATACCAGGCTTCTAGAAATTCTCTGGCTTCTTTTTTGTGTTTACTGTGTCTAAGATCCTAGTCTAATAAGTATCCGTGGTCGTCTACTTGCATTGATATGAGGGAGTGGATATACTGTCGTTTAATGGTCATTTCATGTTCATAGATGCGAAAACGAAGAGGGTGGCCACTTTGACCAATGAAATGTTTTTCATTATAAGGAAATCACCTAACCAAAAGGTCAACTTTTAGGTCTAGGAAACAATCAGTACCAACGCAAGTTGACTTTGGATTGAGAAAATACGAAAATACAACCAATCATGATCAAGGTCACAGGGAGGGATGACTAATAAACTCGTGGAGAGTTTAATAAGCTCACTTCAAACAGAAATATGCGCTGAGAATGTTGTCTGGTAAGACAATGAAAGTTTCACCAATAAACTTTGTATAAGAAATTGAAGCAATCCTCAGATATCGTTGAAGCATCCAAACAATCAGCCGACATGCCAACAGAAGCCGAAACTTTCGTTCCAGTCAATCAATGGAGAAATCAAAATTGAATTAGAAATAAATAATTACTGACACCTATTGCAAAAGAGGTGGCTCTCATGGCTCAAGTGGTCTAGTGGATAACACCTTGGTGTTTCAAACGATGAGCATTGGGTTCGAGTCTCCTCAGTTGAAAATGCCATCACTCACTGTGGGATGCAGGTAAGTCCTGATGATCAGTCCTAAAATGGAAAGAAACGGACATCCTGGATTCCACTACTGGTCACCCTCCAAATTATTATGTTTGTAGAGTAATCACCTGAAGAGCCCTACAGAAATTTATAAATTCATTAAATGCAGCTTTTTTCATAATTACTAGTTGTTCTGAATGTACTCAGGCAAAGAATTAACTTGAAGTAACCTAGTTGGCCTACTATGTTACTGTAATTTACTACACTTTCCCTGAAAGTCTAATTATTCCTTAATTTGAACGCTGGTTTAAACAGAAATAGTAAGTCTTGGCTGCTGAAAGTTAATTTAGTGTTCTCATTCGAGGTCATTTTTAAACTGGCTACGGCAAAGAAAAAGCCTGTACAAATTTCTTTTGGACATTCACAGATTTGGCTTCCTCTGATATATTTCAATCGACTCAGATGTATGTAAAAGTAGTACTCGTATAGCATGCTGGGTGAAATACGATAAATGACTTTAAAAGCTTTGTTAAAGTCAACCGGATACCCAGTATCGACGTCATGAGCTAGTACTGAGTTGTGTATAGCTATATTCGAACCTCTACCAAACCAAGATAGCAGTTCGATGATGAAGACGCCTGAGCGTCCGTTCAGTGTAACTATCTCTGCATGAGCAGTTAAACTGGTAAACATACATGGAAGAGGCGAAACACGGCATTGGATAGCTGCTTCATTCCTAGTAGAATCACGGGCACATACTGTGAAGAGACCCGGACTATGACCAAACAGCTGTCGACGAAATTTACAATGAAATTTTCAATCTTTAATAAATTTTATCTTCAATTCCTAACGCTTCAAGTATCTGTTCTTAACAACTGATCAGTTACACAGTTTTCTCAAACTACTTTGATGATTACTTACTTTCAGTTCAATTTCGATTATCCCGTTGATTGACTGGACCTCAAGTGTTCGGCATCTGTTGAGATGTCGGCTTCTTGTGCAGATGTTTTGATGATGTCTGAGGATTAACTTGAAGTATTTTGGTGGATGGTTACAAGCAGTGGAATCCAGGATGTTCATTTTCTTTCCTTTCATAGGACTCATCACCTGGAGACACCTGCATCACACAGTGACTGATGGTACTCCCAGTGGGGAGACTCGAACCCAGTGTTCATCGTTTCAAACACCATTGTGTTATCCACTAGACCACGAGAGCCACCTCTTCTGCGGCGGGTGTCAGTTATGATTTCTTTTTAATTCAGAAGGTGGCAAAAAGGTAGTTGTCGTGGCCAAAGTGGCCTAGTGAATAACGCCTTGGCATCCCGAAAATATTGGGTACTGGGCTCCATCCCCAGTGGGAAATGCAGGTACATCAGTCTGACCGGTCCGAAGTAGGACAAATCGCGCATCCAGGATTCCACATCCAGTCACCATCCACCGAAATGCTTTGATAAGTTTTCAAGTATTGATTTTATAGGCATTTTACTGATTGGTTACAGGATTTCATCGTGAGCTGACATTGGTCAGAGAACCATTGGAAAACCTGGGAGTACCTGACAGCTGTTTCGACATAGTTTGGGACTCTTCAGTCATACGCGGTACTCCCGGTTGGTTTTCCAGTGGTTCTCTAACTGATGTCAGCTCATGATGGAATCCTACAACCAATCAAACTTTGATAAGTGCATGAAAAATACCCCTTTCTTAGTGTAGTGATTTGTTTATTTGTGTGAATAAATGCATTTAACTAAAAGAATACCCTAATTATCTACGTAATCCTTCAGTCGGCAAGAAATCACAAATGGTTTCACCTACTGGGACTGCGAATCACAGAAACAAGTATTCAGTTAAATTCCTGGCAGTTAAAAGAAATTTAACTCAGCATCCCTTATTGTTATAATGGACTTCAAGTTTCAGGATATGAAGACAATAGGCTTTCACTGTCTCATAAAGTAGTCTTTTTTACTCATAAGCAAATGATAATCACAGCAGCGTTGAGTCATATCATAGTGTTTTTTCTAATCAACATACTATTTGCGTTTTAGCGGCTTAAAAATCCCTATTGAGTCATATGAAAGAGAGAAGACTCTTTTCGCCGGCGAATTCATTCACATAGCTGTGCAATCGCATTTATATACAATTATTTGTGTGTGTGTGCACATGAGGTTTATCAAGTTTGGAAAATCACTTTGGTAATACAAGAATGATCTAATATAGAAACAAGGTTAATCAGACAGCAAATAAAGTAAGATTGAGTTAGTAAGTTAGATGACATATTATAATTGACTAAAGTGTTTCAACCTAGTTCAGGGTGGCAGCAGAGGTAATTACAGCTAGAGACTAAGTAGAAGTGGCGTAGAGTATAATGCCATTTAAATTAGGACTAAAATAGAGCAAATAAATTGGATGAAGTAACTTGAACGACTAGAATGTGAGCGTTGGTCAAGTCAGTAATAGTGGAAAGGAAGTGTAGAGAACAGGAAAATTGAAAATGTAAACTATTACAAGTGGAAAGAGAAAACAGAAAGAGAATGAATAAACAGAGAGAAATAGAATTCACCTGTCGGATATTAAGACAGATTACGTCCATCGCAAGTGTAGTAATAGAACAAACTTCTGTTCAGGACTTAGCACGTGAATTGCCGTTGCTTCTGTCAATAAAATATTTACTAATCTCAAGCCTCACTCCCTTATTCAGTGGTCAATGTCAGAATCACTTTCACAGATTTTACTGTCTTGTCCCATTTCTCAGCATCAACATAATCACACAAGAACCTGTTACAGTGTCTCTAGGAATATTACTGTGTAATAATTAACGTAAAGTTATCATACATTAGTTAAATTTGATCACTTTAGGTTAAGATTATTATTATTATTACTGTTCCCTTGGGTTCCAAGTGGAAGATAGGCATTCAAAAGAAAGTCGAGACTTTGTTCTATTCCCTGCGCTCCTCTTAAGCTGATCCTACTATTTTCCTTATTCTCTAATCTCCTCCTCACACAATCTCCTCCATGTCACCCTCGTAACCCAAGCCCAGTTCATCATTTCCCATTCCGGTTCCTCTCAAGCGATGGCCTGGCGTGCAATGTCACCTGAAGGTCTCCTCAGTGTGTACCCAGTCCATCTTCATTTTCTTCGAAATATTTGTTGAGTAACAGACTCTTGATTTTTCTGTTCCCAGAGTTCCTTGATGCTAATTCTTTCTGGCCATTTGATCTTCAGTATGGAGCTAGCTGAGGTAGTTGCTTACAAAATTCTAAAACCTGTTGGTAATTCTTCGCCTGGTTTACAAGTTCTCTAGTTTTCAAGCTCATCCCAAGCCCGGGAAAGGAGAGAGGATTTGGAATGGGACAAGCGACCTTGCACTGGAAAATCAATCAAACTGCTACAGAAACTAATTTCTCTCTGGAATCGGAGAAACAAAATGACGTGAGCTGTTGAAAGCATTCAGGAAGTCAGTCAGCTAGCCGATTTGTTTTCGCTGGATGGAAACAAAAATAAGGATGGGGATGTGGTCTGTCCAAGCTGCCAACTATACGAGAAAATACGGCATGGAAGTTATTGGAACCTGCACGATCAGGTTAAGATTAGCTTTCATTCTATTGTATCTGATTGTCTCCAGCTAAGAGAGTGATCTACATCCCTTTACGACCATGGAACTGTACTTTCGCTATGTGCCTTCTATTTGAATATGACTGTCAGGTTAGTAAAATCATCAGGCACCACCAAGCTAATGTTCTGCATTGACTTTACTTGCCCAATTAGATTAGATTCTCCCAGTAGAATAAGCTAAAAAGATCATGTTTCGCCAGTTTGAATGCCACCATAAGATGAAAAATCGAGTCCCTGGTTTATTAGCTACCATCCTGAAATCCTAAGCTGGTTCGAGTTCTGTGAGTGCCACGAATTCTTGATGTAGTTTGGAATGCCCAACAATCGGTTTTCGAGTGTTCTGATGGCTTTCTTCCTGTTCACATGGCTCTGAATTCTGTTATCTTAGCTTCCTATCCTGTCCATGCATCGTCTTCATTGTTATGTGACGAGTCAGCCGGTTCCTTAAATTCAAACCCCAAGTAACGCCTTTTACAGCTTACCCATTTCGGTCGGTATATGATCAGAAACAAAGGCTAACAACATTTCAGCATAACAGCTCCATATCTCAGAAGGAAACAGCAAAACCACTGAAAGCATTCTTAGAGAGCACATTTTTATTCAATAAAGCTCAAAATAATATTTTTGTTACCAGAGCAGAAAGGGTATTATTTTAATAAGCAAACGAATAATCACGTGAAGCATAATTCCAAAGACCTTTTTTAATTAAATAATTTCTATGCATATTATAACACTCTGATGTGAAATCTGGATGGATAGTGAAACTGGATAAAGGGATTTTAATGCACGGTTGGAAGAATGTCTCAACATTTTGTTTCTTCATTTTTGGAGGTTGTGGTAGAGTTGGTTGTAAAGGAAACTTCACTGAGTATGATAAGCGCTTCGGTAACAATGATGATCTGTAATAAATAAAAAAACAGTATCGTTTGACTGTTGTTAAGTAAGTGATAGGCAATTTTTTGTTTTTTCATATTTTTTTTCAATTGCTTTACGTTCCCAATGGAACATAGGGCTTCAAGATAGAGGCTTGAAATTTCGGTAGTAGTGCTGTTTATTTTTTAACCGAATGGGGTTGCTAGCTTCATGCACCCCAACCTCCTCTCTTCACCAGTCTTATTAATGGCTTGGTGAGGTAAAGCAGTGCGTCAGCCGAGGGTCAAACCCAGGACCACATGCTGCGTGGTCGGCGAGCATTCCACCGCTGTGCAGCCGAAGCTGTTTCATAAAGTATCCAATAATATAAAACAATACACAATAATCTGCACTGTAATAGCAATCAAAAGATGATTTCTCGAGATAAAAAGCTCACGGAAGATCATTTTATATTATTATTGTCATGAATTCCAAGCTGGACATAGGAATTCAAAAGAAAGTCGAGACTTTGCCTTATTCGCTGCGCTCCTCTTCAGCTGGCCCCACAATTTCCCGTAGTCTCTCATCTCCTTCTCTCCCAATCTCCTCCATGTCACCCTCACAAACCACGCCCAATTTGTCACTTCCCATTCCCGTTCCACTCAAACAATAGCATGTCATGCAATGTCACCCGAAGATCTTCTCAGTGGGTGTTTAATCCATATTCAGTTTCTTCGGAATTTTTATTGACATTCATTCTGGCCATTTGATCTTCAGTATGGAGCGAAGGCGACTGCTAATAAAAGTTCACAGCCTGTCAGAAATATTTTTGGTGACGCGCAGTGCAAGTTTCTGACGCATAAAGAAGAAGTGACTGATTTGACATTAGTTAAATAAAAAACGAATCTTATGCCTTTATCTGAGTGCAGCTGACTCCCACATTGATTTCACAGTGACGGAGACCAGTCTTGCTTTTCGGATCCTGCCTTTTAAATCCTCAACTGTGTTATCTGTAGTTAAGGTGACATTGACATTATATACAGAATCGAAAGAAATGAATTCTCCAAGATCTCTCCAATCGATACTTGTTGTTTTTGTTGTTACTGTTGGTTAGGCATCTTAATCCCCTCTATCTTCTTTATGTTCACTTGAAGACCTGACTTCACTGATTCGCCTTTACGACCTGTTGGTTTTCGCCTTTAAGTTTTCAAATCTATGTGACACTAGACATAAATCATTCATGAAGTCTAGATCTTCCAGAGTCTGCCTGTCACTTCAACGAAATTCCTGTCTTCTTGCACCCTACAGAAGTATCATCGGTTATAGTAGTTAGCCTTCTCTCTGCATTTCAAGGGTTTCTTCAAAAGAAGACAGTATCCTTCAATGCAAGTGCAAATTTTATACCAATTAAGCCTCACTAAAACATGGAGACAGTACGTGCTCCTTTCAACACTCAAAGAAATCTGTAAACGTACCACTGCATACATAGTAGAATTAGTCAGCTTAGGCCTCCCTAACTACTCTGAGAGCAGTGAAACTATTTAAACAAACAATCTGACTCAGGTGCCATATGTTCATTATATCATAAGTATTTGTCGATGAGGTGTTGTAACAATTGGAGTGAAACGTTATTCTTATAATCAAACCAACATTTTTTATGGATTACAATCCTTAAAGCAAATAGGGTTGAGAAGATTTTAAGATAACAACCCCATAAAAGAGAATAAACGAAACAATCACAATGAATTTCTTGATTTCTCCATAGGTAAAATGCGATACAGGACTCAAAAAACAAGTCTACAGAAAGATAGTGCGCTCTGATTGAATATTAATGATCGGCAGAGTCTCATAAGAAGAGTTGGATGTATAATAAATGCCTTTACTAACTTATGACTACAGAAGCCAGAAGAAAGACACTTTCAGTGCGATGAAGATCAGTGGTTATCTCATAAGTCTTTCGACGAAAAACTACATTAGACAACTACTACGCCTGGAAAGTGTCTCAGAAAGTGTTATCAACTAGTCTACCTGTTTGCTATAGGTTTAGCTAAGAGACAAAAATCATCACTAAATAGTATCTTATGCAAAACTTGGAGGATCTGGACTTCGCCGACGATATATGTCTGATTTCCCACAAACTGGAAGATATGCAAGCGAAAAGCAACAAGTTGGCAGAAGAAGCATCCAGAGAAGACAGGACTTCAGGTGGACATAGAGAAGACAGAGGTGATGAAGATTCCTGGGCAACACCACCAACAGCAACAACAACAGACAACAATCAGCATAAATGGAAGGAACCTGAAAGAAACAACCTCTTTTACCTACCTGGAAAGCATCGTCTCAACTGCAGGCGGATGGAACTGACGAGGATATCAAAGCAAGAATCGGGAAAGCAAGACAAGCTTTCACTACCCTCAAGTCTGTGTGGAGGTCAACAACACTCAGCATCAAAAATAAGAACCGATTGTGAAACAAATAAGCAGGAAGAAATGGAGATGGATTGGCCATACTATGAGGAAACCATCAAGTGACCTCACTAGACAAGCCACCGCTCGAGTGGAACCCGAAAGGGAAGTGGCGAGTTGGTCGTCAGTGCAAGGGTGACTTGGAGGAGGCCATGTGAAGAGGAGATGAAAACGTGTGGGCAGACATGGAGCCAGGTGAAGACTCTAGCAGAGAACCGAACGCAATGGAGACGCACGGCTGAGGACCTATTTTCCTGTAGGAATTAAAGGATACAATAATAATAATACACTGACTCAGACATAAAAGCAGGTGTATTCGGAGGAATCCTCCTAGTAAGGCACTCAATATGCTGATCAGTCATCGAATACTCCACCGTAAAGGTACAACAACATACTAAGTTTAAAGCCAGTGAATAACTTCTGACTGTTTAAACTCGAGGAATATAGACATAGAACAAATGTTAGGGTTACTACATAGCAATCGGTTAGCTAAAAGCTGATCACAAAGACCAATGATTTAACATTTTTCATCACAAAGAAATGACAATAGTTCAAGGCCAAAATGGCAATTACTCGACATCCAAATCAAATTCATCTTCAAAAGCGCATCACATAAGCTGTTGGATATTATGAGTTCAAAATCATAAGCTTGATAACTAGCAATTCATACAGTGCAAATATTATCTAACTGATAGAAGAAACCTCCATGAAAACGATCACTTCTATATTAATCTATTATCCGCTGATTATAGGATGAAATTCTCGGAGTTCCATTGAGAAGTCGTGTTCATCAAGTAGGCTTTTTGGATGGGGTACATGGTGAACTGATAGATTAGACTGTAATGCAGAGGCCGAATGGCGATGTGCTTGTCTTACCATGTACAGTTTTCGGCTTCTGTCTTCGACAGGTGTGTACTGCTGAATATTTATAAACTAGGAGAAAACAGCTATTCGGTGCTTCTCAGTTCCCAGTGGTTATCCATCTGTTTCCGCTTCTTGAAATAATTTGCCTCAGCTGAATATTTTTATACCTCTAGTTTTCACAAGATAAATTTCAGTGGTATAACTGAACTGGGATCAGAATTAAAGACTATGAATCGATACTTCTTAAGCTTATATTTCACTCTAACGCAAAAATAAAGAATGGCGATCACGGAGTACGAACGCACCAATGACCTCAAAAATGCTTCCCAATTACAATCAAGAGAATCAGTTTTCAAGTTTCTTAGCAATCAAAATGGTTTCATCTATATGAACAACGAAACACTTCCCCCCCCCGTGTATATTTACTTACAAGACAATAATAATCAAACACCCTAACCCCTATCCTAACCACAAGCCTTATACCAATCTTTACCCTAACCTACTATTAGCCCATTGTTCAAACAGTACTTATAAACGAGACCAGAATGAAATTTGCGCATCAATTCATTCACAGATTTCATACTGGCTCCGTAATCATGACACGTTCTGTAATCCAATGAATGATAAGCGTTCAAGGTCATTGGTGAGTTCACAATCCACGGTTGCCCACATTAACTGGTTCACGTAGGCTAAATATAGAAATACTAGCCATTAATATGTAGCAATTATACACAAGCTGTGTATATAAAAGCTGCACATACTTCAAATTTAAAGGATCTCCAGGTATTTCCATTCTCCAACCATGTTGTCTAAGAGCTCGATCATATTCATCTTCTAATATAATTCTGCATTCTTTCAATAGCTTTCTGTCGAAAACCAGTTTTGAATTGTCGGACTCTTCATTTGATTCTTTTTCTCCACTTGTCTGAGAGTCGCAGGATGCTTGTTCTACATCTGGACTTGATGAGTGTTGGTCACTGGTGTCACTGTGTGTCGCAGGCTTGTGCTCATCAGCGTCACATTCAGTTTTTGCCTCATGTGAACTATCTGTAACAGGATGCGCCAACTAAAATGAATAAACAGAATAAATTTTAGACAAAACAATAAGAAGACGTAATTTGTCTGAATCGTGTAATGTGCATTTACGCAACACATTTCGAACAATCTGATCACACGCGGACTTGTCATAGGAATATTTGTGTGAAATTAATAAAGAGTTAAGAGGTGAGAAAATAAATTTAGGTCAAGCTAAAAGGACATATTGAAGGTCAAAATAACAATGAAGATCACTAAACCAAACAATAGAGGTATCAAAACAAAGATTACCAAGGAAGGTGTAGTGTGATGACGAATTATTGCTCTGAATGCTTGAAGGTGGTTTAAACTTCCTAACGGCAGCTAGGGCTTCCACAAACTTTAGGATGCGCCCCGAACATTTTTTACAAATAGTTTTAAAAGACGGGTAAACATCAGTTTTATGTCCTGTCTTTATAATATATTTCGCAATGGAGGAGCTAGGCCGTCTGTTATCACCAGTAATGCGTTCTGGGTATTCTGTTTACTTCTGAAGCCCTTAATTGCTGAGAATGATGAGTCCTCCCTATGTATGTATGGCCATAAGTACATTTAAATCGGTAAATACAGTGGGATATGACATCGTTTTCGTATTTGCATACGGCTTAGATGGATATATTGGCTTCACATTCTCAATTATTATGATATTAGCCGCATAGGAAGTCTTTTTAACAGCAGCGTTCAATCTTTGTCTAGTTGTCAAGCTGCTATGGTGCCCCATATAGGGTAACTTGATGTATACGTCTTTCTTAGCGGCTAGTTGAAGAGTGGGTCTTGGTATTCTGACTACTTCATATCTCCTAACAAACTTGTCTGGATAATTGTTATCAACCAGAGTTTGTGTCAACTTTCTTCCTCATCAAGTGTGTCTTCAATACATATGATAATAATAATAATTTGCTTTATTCCAAAACAGTACTTGTGATACAGAATGGAATTCTCAGCATTTTACTACAGTATTGCATCCAGTTAGTACATTATCAATAAATAGAATTCTACATAGATTAAGGAAATCTCAGTTCATTATGACAACAACATATTGGCATGTCGGTAGCAAAGGTAAAGCTGAACAGTGTTTGAAGGTGTTAGAAAAGTAGGTGCTGTCATATTTACTGGCGTAAGCGGAAGAAAGAAACAAAGCAGCACATAACGGAAAAAAGAGAGAGAGAGAAAAGGAAAAGAAAGAAAACGTTGTACCTATAAATGATATGAGTTGGAAAGACGAGGTCCAGTTGTACTACTGACTATTTAATGAATTATAGGTGTCACGCCTAATGCTTTCTTTATCGCACAGAACACGAGCTAAGTAGGGTATGGTTGAGTTTTTGTACTTGCTGGTGCGAGCATATAGTTTCCTATATAGGCTTCTGGTTTCGCCTGATGAGATGCAAGGGGAGAGTTGTGAGTGAAGAGGGTGGTGTGAGTTAGATAAAATGGATTTGGCCCATTTTTCACATGAGTCCATGTGCCTGTCAACCAGAATATTAACAAGCTGGTTAAGTGGCACGTTGCTTACCCTGCTGACAACCTTTAACATCCTGCGTAATAAGGTATAGTCTTTCTTCAGTAGCCCGGGGAAAACTAAGGGGGAACAATAGAGAATAATAGGCAGAATGCGAGAGTTAACGAATTGTAGGAGTAAGGGTTGGGTTATACCAGAATGTCTTAACTTCTTGATGTAGAAGGTAAGACGGAATATTTTCTTAGAAATCGTCAAGATATGAGACGACCAGGAAAGATCAGCAGATAGAATGACGCCTAGGTATTTAATTTCCGACTTGGTTTCTATTTCAGTGCCATCTATGTTGCACACCTCGTGAGAGCCAACCAGTTTGTTATGGTTGGATTTATGCCTAAAGGTGAAATTGGCTGTTTGTCATTTGCAGGGGTTTAAGGTTAGACCGTTTTCCTTGGACCACTGGCTGATTTCTGATAGAAAGCCATTAAGTTTAGAGCAGTCACTTTGACATTTGACAGGCAAAGATACTGTCAGGTCGTCAGCATATTTGACAAAATTAATGTCATTTGAAGATGGTAAGTCATGTAGGAAGAAAGAAAAGAGAAGTGGGGAGAGTACAGCACCTTGGGGGACACCGGCTTCAGTGAGTGCAGCAGAGGAGGATTTACCTTTGTATACGGTGTACTGCTTTCTGTTAGAGAAGTAGGAATGCAGCCAGTTAGTGACCCAGGACTCAGTTTTGTCAAAGAGAGCTTATTTAGCAAGAGACACCTAGGTACAGAGTCGAAAGCAGAAGTGAAGTCGAGAAACGTGGAGCGGACGTATTTGGCACCTTTATCTAATGATGAGACGATGTTGTTGTCTCATATTCGTTAGATTCTACTGAAGAGACACCTGGCTCACTAAGGCTCTTTTCTACTGAACAGGGCAGAAATTGTAATAATTAAGATACTGTCCTGTCCAATTAGGTTTCCTATAAATAGATGGCTTTATTGATCCATCAGGAAAGGTAAAAAATCGTCTTTCTCTCCTACAGATGCAAGTGATATACTATTCTGAACTACGTTCATTCATTCGATTTACAATGGAGGTGTCAGAACAAGGCTTATCACTTACGATTACAATATAGTTGACATATCTTCCAGAAAGTGGTACATTTTTGATTAAGTCGTCTAGTAAACTCTAAATGTACGTACGACATACAGATATCTACTAAAAGAGTCCCCAACAGACCTCCAATGGCATGGTAACACCATCAACCTGACGGAAGCAATCACCTTCAAATGCAGATCTAACATTGCCAGTACATAGAAATATAAATCCCTTCAATAAGATATAGGGACACAGAATTAGAAAATTATGTGTGAAGATGTAATCACACAAAATGTCAATTTTTTTTTAATAAAGGTATATTAGCGAACAGAAGGTTCACATCCAAAGAAAAAAAACATTTTTATTTATACTATTAATATCAGCAAGACAATTAACCACTTGAAATGTATCTTTTGATACGCGCTCACAGAATTGTGAAATATTGTAGTTATCGACTATAACTTACAAATTATTTACCTAAAAGTAGTATCAAAATAAACGTAATACTGATTGAATAAGGCATTAAGAAGACAAATTTCGCGAGATGATATCGTCATTTCGTAGTTTCTTTACAACCGCTTTACAACTAACATGGTTAACAATTATAAAATAAAGTTCATGACAATTACTCAGTTAAATAAAAAAACAGAAGTACATACTGCTGACCAATCATATTTAGATAGGTTCTGTAGTCCATGGTAGGCGGAGATTGAAGTCTATTGTTTTTTTGTGCACACAGTTTAGGCTATATGTGATTAATCTAAAGTGCTTCCATCACATTCAATAACCTTGAATTAGAGTTATGTGAAATAATTGTGGAACAGTCATTAATATTGATTTTGTGACCTGACATTAATAATTGTTTTGTAATGGATGATGCTGGATTTCTATTCAGATTACTGGCATTGGGATTTTCTATATTTTTAATAACCATTTTGGAACATGTTCTTTCCGACGACATTGGAACATTCTATTGGTTCTACCTATATAGGTGTCACCGCAGCTGCAGGTGAACTTGTGGATACAGTTTGAAGTAGAGTCCACAGAATTTCGTCCTTTAATCGAAAATGTTCGCCAAATGAGAAAAAGAGATGCGGTGTAAAATGTGCGTTTGATGGCTGACCGAAGTCTTTGAGCTGTCAACTGCATAATTTGGTCGCCCTTGAATGGTAGCTTAATAAAGATAGCTTTCTTTGGTACAAAAGCCGTCTTTTCGAGATATGGTCTATCCTTACTGTGACAATTGATAAAGTTTTCCGGATAACCATTAGCTAATAAAACTGAATGTATGTGTCGAAAGTCATCCATCAATGTGTCACTCGTGCATATTTTTCGGGCCCTTGAGAACGAACATTTCACTAGTGAACGTTTATACTGGATAGGAACAAAACTGGTAAAATGAAGATATTGTCCACTCCACATCTGTTTACGAAAAATAGATCGTTGAATCGTTCCATCATCTCTCCTGATCATTGTAATATCCAGGAAACAGAGTTTGATATTCGATTCTAGTTCGGAAGTCACTCGGATATTTGGATGAATATGATTAAAGAGTATCATTTACATAACGTTTATACAGCACAAATTCTCCAAGCATATCTTGCATTTGTTTCTTTAATTTCAACATGCATATATCTGCTAACAGAGGCCCAAGAGGGCTCCCCATCGCAACACCATCGATTTGTTTGTATGCCTTATCTTGGAAGGTGAATCTAATATTTTCTGTACACATTAAGATGATGTCTCTGATGTAAGTTACAGGAATAGGTAAGTTTATCCCATTGCTTGTGATGTAATCGCAAATGAAATCAACTGTTTCATTAAGGGGAACATTGGTGAATAAAGATTCAATGTCAGTTGAACACATAACCTTTTCCTTAGTGTTCAAACTGTCTATCATATCTGTCAGATCAAATGAACTTTTTACAGAATGATTTGATAATGAGTCTCTTACAGGCGTAAGGACCTCTGTAATCCATTTTGCGATTTCGTGGTATGGAGAACTCGACATGTCTAATACTGTTTCACAATTAAATGTTTTGAAGTTTGAGTAGAAAATGGGAAGCATTCACACTTAGAACAAACAAATGTTCCATTGCTTATGATTATATATCGCTAATTTATTGTTTGAAATCTCTCCAATGTATTCCTCAATCAATGAATACTTGTGTATCGTGTATGTGTGTGTGGTGGGGTAGGGTGTGTTGAAATCGCCTATAACGAATTCACTTAATCACTGCCACTATTCAGCACTCTTACTTCATTTAAATTCACGACTTATTACAAAGTCTACGCTTTTGCTTAAGAGGTCTGTCTCGTCGTCCAGTCATCTTTTCAGTCGGATTCCGCTGAATAGTTCACATATTTAGACAAAAACAAACCAAAAAAAGATGCCTCAAAAGTACTCATTATTACCAATTGTAGATTACTTACAAAACACGGAGCACTACTCGGTCGACCAAGATGTTGTTTTAATAATGTAACAGGTTTTCCAGAGAAATGTGCGATTGGCGTATTGACACGTGAACTAGCCACTGAAATATTTGTGCTGTTTTCTGAAGTATTCTGACGGAATGAAATTAAGTGATTCTGGAAAACAAAAGGAGAATGCATGCATGTTATCGTTGCTATGGTGACTATTGTAGATAGTGTAAAAGGTGAGGCATTCTGATAAACACTAGAAATTTATTAGGTCAGAATATTATGATTTTCTCCAGAAGTCGATATCTAACTAAAGTTGTTTCAATACAAGACCATGTGATGTCTCCAGGCATCAATCTCCCAGTTTTTATAGCGTATCACTGTGTACTACTGTAACAACAGAAAACAAGGGTTAGGCAACAGATCGTTTATTGAGAAAATCAACACATATTTATAGATTTTATGTACATTATTATTAACTTTCCAGGTTTTCTAACTGAATACTTAAATCTTCAGAAATACAAAGCAGACGAAAGTGTATTGCCTTTGGTAGGTTATTCTTCACTTTTTAGATTACTTTGAAGGTGGCTTTTGTTGAGATGTAATGACCAGTGTTGACAAGGTGTTCAACTAGCGCACTCCTTATTGAACCACTACCACCCTTCTGCAACCATGCGGTATGGTATTCTCGAACCCTTTTTAGACAGGATATGCGTCGAACAACCAATGTAGCTGGCCTCACAGCAATCTTTTGTCCTGAGAATGCACTAGCCCACAGAGGCATAATTTTTGTCATCAGGTATTATTGTTGCATTTCATTATTGATCCATCTATAGGAAGTTGACATGGAACGGACAACTCATCAACTTTCTCAATTGGGTGCCTCTATATATAAAACGAAACCTGATCGGTTTATGAGCCAGAGAATTCACAGCATTTGCAGCCCTGACACTACAGAAAAGAAGCGAAACACTCTAAATCGGATTCTCATTGAAAATGGATACCTACAATATTTCATTACAAAATCCACGAAGCTGAAACCACTAAATCCACTCACACTTTCGGTTCCTAAAAATTCTCTCTGTGTGAATCCACAATTCAATGGATACTCATCAAGAGAAACACAGAGGAACCGCCTGTTCCACTCATTGAAGGAATTCTTTTTCGTGGATGAAATTTGACTTTCTCCTGACAACATATGATCCGCATAAACTCGAAGAACAGGCTGCTAATGTAACAACAGAAGACAAGGACCAGGCAACAGATCATTTATTGAGAAAATCAACAAATATTTATAAATTTTTATGTATGTTATTATTCGTTATTGTTAGCAGAGAGGTAGTGTCTTCTGATTGGTTGTTTTCTTGCTGAAGGTTATTCTGTACTACTTCTGACCGTTTCTCAGAAAGTAAAGCCACATATCCGCGAATCGGTGAGTTCCTCAAGATTAAGCTTTGTTATTGTTTTTCTGATGACCCCGATTAGGGAAGTAACACTGACGTCAGTTGTTGTCTACAGCTTTGGCTGGCAGACAGCTCTCGCCACCCTACTATTGATTTCATCAGTTCACCTGCTTGTGTGGATCCAAGTATATTGGCTGTACCCAGCGTCTGCTATCCAAACGTTTCACCAGACACATACCCTCATGGTGCTACAAAGGACAAAAGTGATCCCCTGCCTTGCATGACCGGACGACTATGCATAAAAGCTCTACAATACCTAATTCGGCACATACCTTATGTGACGGGAAAAGTGTAATGCATGACACTACTAACTTACTGGGAAATACCAAGTGAACGGCCTTTTTTATTCCTTTTTTCATTATTATATTGTTGTTAATATTTTCACAATGGTGAAGCACGCTGATGATTATACAAATTGTAAATACTGTGACTTACTGGACTGTACAATTTATTTCCTACTCACGTTATGCAGATCAAAAGAATATCGAATAGAACTACCACTTCTTTGCATTAACCCATTACAGTGCATGCGACACTTCTACGACATACAATTTGTAAATAATTAGGCATCTAACAAACTAATGAAATGATACTATAAATGGACAAGTAACTTACAGATGCTGCTGACTGTGGTCTTCTACTGGACAAGTTTTTTTGAGGAGTTGGACTATGTATCGGTGCTTTGCTAACGATGTTTTGATATTCTGAACCAAAATCCTTCACCACAAACATATCCATATTTGGAGATGGTACAACCGTTTTCTTGTTGACTGATGTGATTGGCTAAAAGTTAATTGAAATTTCTATTTTATGATATTTAGATTAAATGAATGGTCAAAAAATAATGAACAAGAAGAGTAAAGCAATCCGTCTAAAGTTGATTTCATGTGCAGATTCAGCCTACGAAGGTGTAAGCCTAAACTGAGAAGTACATTTTTTGATTATTATATATTTGATTGGTTAGAGGATTTCATCATGAGCTGACATCGGTTAAAAAGCCATTGGAAAACCAACTGGGAGTACTGGATAGCTGTTTACTCCGTTCTAGTTTGGGACCCTTCAGCAGTACGCACCCACCAGGTAGTTACCTGGGGTTCTAGTGGGAATTAGTGACCAGTAGGGTACAGCAGGTTGAAGGTGAGGCAGTAACTTACTGAAGAAGACATTGGCACAGGGAGTAGTGAGATTATCTGAATATAAGAATTTAGCTCAGGTAAGAATGGTTGACCCTGTAAAGATAAGTAATTTAGAAAAAAGCTCAGTACTCCATTGCACTGCATGCATTAACACACAACCACACAATAGGGTGGGAGAGGGTCAAAATTCTAAGAAGTAATATAGGTAGGTGGAGAGAAAGGTTGATTACTGAATCCTTGTTCATCGAGTCTACACCTACCACATGCAACAGAAATGACTCAATGCAAATACCACAGATATATGGAAGATATTATTACCACCAGTCAAATCAGAGGAGGATAATAAATAATCTCAAAATTCTATTTCAATTCACGTACATTATAACATTCTAACAAGTTACTTATTTTGACTATAAAAGCATCTTATTTCCCATCTGATTGTATTTGATTGATAACACTAATTTTATTTCTGAATGTACTTTATCTTATACTGATTTTATTCAAATGTCTAATCAATTTTACTCATGTATATAAATGAAGCAAAAACTTTGTGTGAGTGCCTTGATATGATTATGAGTAGCAATAATTTGTGCTCGAAACGTCATCAGTTAATATTACTGTATAACAAACACTGTGTGATTTATCAAAATAAAATCTTATCTATAATGAAGACATTGGCTAGTGGTCGCGCCATAAGTGAACTGCCAGAAGTTGGAATTAATGAACAGGCCAATGGATCGGGATGGTCCCAGTGGCTTAATCGTCTACAAGCTACCTAGCCTTGTAACGAGAAGGTCATGGGTTTGAACCTCAGTGGGTGGATGCTTACTGCTTAAAAGTCCCAAACCAGGATGGGGGGAAACAGCTGTCCAGAACCCCCCGGCTGTTTTTCTAATGATTCTCTAACCTATGTCAGTTCTTGATGAAATCCTCAAACCAATCAAACAAAAATCTCTACAAAACCAATGTTATACATTTATTATTCTGTTGAGTTCCACGTGGAACACAGTGCACATCTCTATTTGGTTCTGTTGTCTACAGTCCTCTTCAACTGGCTCCGTGATTACCCGTATGCTTTCATCTCATCCTCACATGATCTCTTTCATGTCACCATCACTAACCCCACCCAACTCATCTTTTCCCAATCAGGTTAAACTGGGGTGATGGCCTGGAAAACTATTTCACCTGAAAGTTTCCTCAGTGGTGCGTATCCGATCCATCTCCATTTTCTTCACCATATTTGCTGGACAACAGATTCCTGGTTAGTTTGTTCCTTGAGCTTTTTCGTTGCTAATACCTTCTGGCTTGTCGTCTGATACTCACTGTGGAGCTAAAAAAGGCAGCTATTGATAAACGTCTCCATTAGCCTGTTGGAAATACTTTTTTCGGTGCGAGCATTATGTTTGTGACCCACGTAGTAGAAGTGACTAACTTATTATTGGTGTTGAAAATCCGAACTTTGTTGTTTATTCTGGCTGAGTGGAGAAGATTTCCAAACTGATTTCAGGGTGATGAAGCTAGTCACTTACTCTGGTAAAACTTTTCATAGGTTTTGCATAATACAATGAATGATCAGTTTTCTATTAAGCAACTTCGAAGATGTATAAGAAAGAGAAACTTACATTAGTGCTTAAACACCAGTTCTCACGGATCGATGCGTGAATCTTTCATGAATGAAATATATATATTGATTTTCAAGTATTGGTTTGTTGGGATTTGACTGATTGGTTACAGGATTTCATCATGAGCTGATATCGGTAAGAGAACCACTCGAAAACCAACCACGGGGTACTGGACAGCTGTTTCATCCTTCCTAGTTTGTGACCCTTCATCAGTACGCATCTACCACAGGGGCTAGAACCCACGACCTTATGGATATAAGGCCAGCGAGGTCGTGGACCATTAGGCCACTGAAACCCGCCCAATCCAATGGCAAGTGCATGAATTCCAACTTCTGCCAATTCACTACACAGCGCGACCACTAGCCAATGTCTTTGGCGAGTATTATCCTAACACCCGACCTGCTGCACCCTACTGATCACGACTTCCCACTGGAACCTCAGGTAACTACTACCTGCCAGAATAGGGCCAATCGCTAGTGAGAATCTCATTGATTTTCAGCTATTGGTATGAGTCACCATGTACACTTCTGAAAGCCTTAGAACCAGTGATCATTCATTTGAATTATTTCTGTTTCATAAATTTAATTATGGTAATACCTCCTCAGTTAATCACACATCACTCATATATTTAACCTTTAACACATTACAGAATTCAATATTTATTAAACTTACTCTTGGAATTAAATTAATTTTAGACGTTAATAACCAATTATTATCTCCAATTTCACATTTCCTTTGCAACTGTTTCCTAATCGCTTTAAATTGTGGTCTTCTATCAGATAGTTTCATATTTGCACTGGATATTTGTCTTCTGCTAAATGCTGAATGATGTTGTGTAGAGGACTCTTTTGAACAAGTGGAAGAAGTATGTGGATACTTCGCTGACTGACTTTCTGGTCTTTTTTCATTTGGTGAATGTTCATCTTTAAAATTGTCATAACCACCGGCAGAGTTTGCGTCGGCATCTTTGGATGAATAACCTCAATGAAATGAAGATATAGTAATAAGTGCAAAAAAGGGAATGAGTTATTTTAAGTTTAACAGAAGTAAGTGGTGAATTCGAACTCTTAGTTAAAAAAAGACACTGACACTAATGCACTGAACAAGAGAATCAAATATGAGACAATAATTTGAATACTAGTCCCGTTCAGATCAAAAATTAAGAGAAAATGGTGACCAATTTAGAAACCAAAAGCAGATATGGGTTTCATGAAGTCAAGTTGACGGCTGTTAATTGAGTCTCTAATGTAACTTACAGAATCCTTCGAAGTGAGGACAGGAGTAAGACAACGCTGCCTACTATCGCTAGTGATTTTCCTGATTGCAGTAGATTGGATAATGCGACAAATAGTGGGCAATGAAGAAACAGACATAAAATGGACCCGCACAAAAAACTTTGAGGATCTGGACTTCGCCGATGATATATGTCTGATTTCCCACAAACTGGAAGATATGCAAGCGAAAAGCAACAAGTTGGCAGAAGAAGCATCAAAGATAGGACTTCAGGTGAACATAGAGAAAACAGAGGTGATGAAGATTCCTGGGCAACACCACCAACAGCAACAACAACAACTGACAACAATCAGCCAGTATAAATGGGAGGAACCTGAAAGAAACAACCTCCTTTACCTACCTGGGAAGCATCGTTTCAACTACAGGCGGTGGAACTGACGAGTATATAGAAGCAAGAATCGGAAAAGCAAGACAAGCTTTCACTACTCTCAAGTCTGTGTGGAGGTCAACAGCACTCACCATCAAAAATAAGATTTGGATTTTCAACTCCAATGTGAAGTCAGTGCTACTTACTATACGTATCAGAGACTTGCACTGCGCGTCATTAAGAGCATCTGAAACAAACTACAGACTTGCATTAACAGTTGTCTTCGCTCAATACTCAAGATCAGATGGCCGCCTAGAAAAGATCAGGAACAGGGATCTCTGGGAGCGAACCAACCAGGAACCGATTGTGAAACAAATAGGCAGGAAGAAATGGAGATGGATTGGCTGGCCATACTCTGAGGAAACAATCCATCAAGTGACATCACTAGACAAGCCATTGCTCGAGTGGAACCCGAAAGGGAAGCGGCGAGTTTGTCGTCAGTGCAAGGGTGACTTGGAGGAGGTCATGTGAAGAGGAGATGAAAACGTGTGGGCGGACTTGGAGCCAGGTGAAGACTCTAGCAGAGAACCGAACGCAATAGAGACGCACGGCTGAAGCCCTATGTTCCTCTAGGAATTAAAGGAAACAATAATAATAATGCAATGTCGTAATCTAACTAAATATAATTTACGCTTTCTTAGAACTACTCAAAAATTGTCCCACTTAAAAACGCCACATTGAAGAAGTTGGTAATCTTTAGTTCAAATAGTGAAATACGATAATTATCATAGAATGTTAAATTACCCTATACACTCAGGGTAGATTTCGACGAGAACGGACCTCACCCAGAGAACCATTGAAAACCAGGAAGCTTTGGATATTCAGCCACCGCGCTTGCCTCATAATCTAAAGGTGCTGGGTTCAATCTCTGTTTGTTATACTCGTTGAAACTAATACAGAGTCTTGGTTTTCAGTGGTTCCGTAACTGATGTTTTGGTTAGAGTTGTCTGCTAACCAAAATCGGTAGACAGCAATTTACGTCAATATTTACGTCCCAAATCTTGGTCATTAGAAAAAAACAAGAACAATGACTTTGTGTGGGCGGATACGATTGGCAGATATTTGGTCTGACCTTCAAAGAAATGACCACAAAGAGGTGACAGAATAACTTTCAGAGAGAAAACAACCAACCAGAAGACGCTGTCCCTCTGCTAGTAATAACGAATAATAATTTACATAAAAATATATAAATATCTCCTAATTTTCTCAATAAACGATCTGTTGTCTGGCCCTTGTCTTCTGTCGTTACAATGTCGGTTCCTGGAGAAATCCGCTCTAAAATCAGTAAAAATCTTACAACTAAACTCTTTATTCTGCATTCAATAGAGATTAGGAGGAAATATAAAGTATCACTTCAAATTTGATCACGGATTGTATCATTTGAGAACGAATGAAAACCATCTGGGAGTACTCGAAAGCTGTTTCGTCTTAGTTTCAGGCTCATCGACAAGGTTCACCCACTGGAATTTGAGTACACAAGACCTTCCAATCACGAAGTGAGGCCACTGGGACTGCATTCCTCAATAGCTAACCCACGAATTATAACTTCTACCAATTAGGGAATTTAGCACGGCTGGCATCAGCCAATGTCATCAGCGAGTTCCAATCTAGGAGGAAACAGCCACCCAGTACTTTGAGCTGGCTTTCAATAGTTCTGTAACTGATATAAATCCGTGATCAGACTTGAAAGAAATCAAATTTCTTTAAAAAAACTCTCCAAAAATATTGTTTTATTTAAAATATCAGAGTCTACTTAATTTTTATGAAGTAGTATAATAATCGTCTGTAAATTAACTTACTGAAAGTCGCAAATCGCTTATAACATGGTGGCTTATAAGGATTGAATATTGTAGGATAAATAGCGTATGGTTGACTTTGTAGTACAGTTGACATTTTTGGATAAAAATGTTTTAAAATTTCAGGAAAAATAAATTATCACTATAAATCTGGTGAAATGAATGAAAATTGATTATGAATTCAAAACATCTGAAAAACAAAATTTAAAATTATTCATTTAGTTATTTCTTGAAAATTTGGTGTAGGATATTAGTATAAGAATTGGAGTTAAACACAAAAAGTATGATTTCCTCTTATAATTATGCTTAACCAGTTTTATTATTTCGATAAAGAAAGGAAGACGAAATTTGCAGTATAAAATGATATCATCATTCTATTTCACAGGTTCTCATCAGCTGCAGACTACCTGAAGTTAAAATGGTTATATAGGTGATAATAACATACTTTAATGTTTGAGTGGTGGTAGAGAAGAGATACTATAAAATTAACGCATCCAAAATGAAAGCATTACAATTTTTAGTTTAAGTTTTCATTGTCAATTTATACGCCTTTAAAGTAGAAAAGAGGGGGCAGGGAGGGGTAAGACAGAAAACAGAAAAAATTAATTAACAGAACAGTGTTAGCTTGTAGGTTCACATAGAAACTCAAAAAACAAAAGCGGTTACAGTTTATGAGATTAAGATTCGTTCAGTGAGTTGAGATCACTGAATTACATGACTAATTATTGTAGTCAAAATCAGAATTCAGTTACCAAGGGAGTGAGAGATTAATCACACTCTCTTTCTGTACGCATAAGTCTGGTTTAAATTGTTTGATTGCGATCGCTAACATTGTTAAGCCAACATTGTTCTGTTAATTAATTTTTTCTGTTTTCTGTCTTACCCCTCCCCCCCCTCTTTTCTACTTTAAAAGCGTATAAATTGATGATGAAAACTTAAACTAAAAATTGTAATGCTTTCATTTTGGATGCGTCAATTTTATAGTATCTCTTCTCTACTACCACTCAAACATTAAAGTATGTTATTATCATCTATATAACCATTGTAACTTCAGGTAGTCTGCAGCTGATGAGAACCTGTGAAATAGAATGATGATATCATTTTATACTGCAAATTTCGTCATCCTTTTCTTTATCGAAATTCATCAAGGGAACCAAATATATGAAGTTTTATTATTATTGTTCCCTTAGGCTGCGAGTGGATCACACGGCTTCAACAGCCCACCTCTCCTTCGCCCTGTTGTCTGCAGTCCCCTTTAGCTGGCCCCACGATTGACCATGGTCTTTCATCTTCTCCCCTCATGATCTCCTCCATGTCATCCTCGGACCTATTCCCAACTTGTCGTTTTCCACTTGGGTTTCACTTGAGAGACGGACTGGCACGCGATGTCACCCAACGGTCTCCCCAGCATGTGTCTGATCCACCTTCATCTGGTTTTCGGTTTTGTTTCGTTGCAATGTAGACTTTCTTGTTGCCATTTATTTCTCCCTGGCCATCTGATCTTTGGTATGGAGGCAGTGAAGGTGGCAGCTGCTAATATAAGGCCTGCATTAGTTCGTTGGAAATGCTTTCGGTGAGGTGGGCACCAAGTTTCTGAACTATATAGAAGCACTGAGTGACTTAACATTTGTGTTGGAAATCTGAATTTTGTTGTTTATTCTGGCTGAGTAGAGCAGATTTCCAGACTGATTTCACAGTGATGAGTGTCTGTCTTGTCCTTCTGATTCTTCTCTTGACATTCGCATCTGTGCCGCCTGTAGATGAAATGATGTTTACTAGGTAAGTGAAAGAGGTGACCTAGTACAAATTTCTCCCGACGTGGGGTGATTGGTGCCCGTTGTTGTTGGTGGTTGATTAACTTCTTCACATCCATCTTCTTCGTGTTTATTTGAAGTCCAGCTTTTGTTACTCACTCTGTCAATGTTTTTTTTCACCTATAATTCTTCAAATTTATGTAACATTCTGTATTGCGGATCACCCGACATCTGACGCTGTCATATACCTGTTGAATGAGGCTGAGGACAGCTGCTGCAGTCTGTGGATCCGTTTTCAGATCTTCAGGAGGAATTCTATCCTATCCTACTGCTTTCCTGGCTTTCAGTAGCTTGATTTCATCCAAGACTTATACTTTTGCTGGAGAAATGGTGTCCATCGGAGGTATTACTTATTGCATTAACAACGTTGTCTTATCACTTATCACATCTAAAAGAACTTTCTTACATGGAAGTAATTCGATGTCATTCATGTATATAAAGTTAGCGTAGACTGTTCTGTTTTAATTACAAGTTCTAAGGTGGACACCAGGTTCCAGCAGACCAAACTGATTTTTTTGTTTGATTCGGGATCTTGATATTCCGCTTAAAGTAACATTTGGAATCAGTCAGCTTACACAAACTGAACTCTTTTTTGAATTCTTTTGGATCTCTGGCTGATGAAGTCTGTCCGCCGCTTCAAAAAACAATCTTTTCTAACACATAAAAGTGAACAGGGATAAAAATTCGTCTGACTGGTCAAAAGCTAAGAAAGTTACTGATATTTAGATGTATAATCATGCCTGTCAATCTCTTCATGTCTGTAGATGAACTTCTGCCTAACGGAAAAGAAATGATAAAGACTAAAATACATTTTTATAGCTCTTCCAATGATTCAACTTTGTCGCCATGTTATCAAAGCGTCGGTAGCACAGCGGTTGCGACTGTCGCCGACCATGTATACGGTTCGGGGTTCGATCCCTGCCGACACACACCTCATATCAATGGTCGGCCTGCAAAATTTGGGCTACCAATATCGCATGCTGAAAATTTTATACTTGTACCAAAAATACGGTGTGGAATCAAGCTATAATCAAAGTTTTAAGAAAATAAAATAAAACAGGTGTTTGTAATTCGAACTACTATGGAAAAAATGGCGTTTTTCCTAGGGTAAATTTGAACCATCATCTAGATTCTATTAGTTCACAAACCACACAGAAAGCTTGATTGGTGTGACTAAACCAATTCTGACATCGTGACAGGTAGATATTCAAGAATCTGTAATACATGATCTGTTATAGTTATTCAGTTTCAGTCATTGAATTTGCCTCATTTTGTCTGTGTAATGAAGGGTTTTTCATTTCAACTATTAATGATGGTGAAATGACTGATAATATAACACAGAGAAAAATCAAGGTTTTGAAACTCCCTTCTTCCCAACATTGAATTCTCCTTCCATCTTCTCCTTCGCACACATCTCCATTGAACTACGAAAAACCAGTCATTAATTTTAAAACCTTTGAAATGATCCAGTACATTAACCCCATGTCATATGTGCATACATGTTACGAATGGAGTTTTACTGGGCTTTGAGTCTCAACTTCATCGACTTTGAAAAGGCCTTCGACAGCGTCGATCGAGAGGTGATTTGGCAAATACTTCACTACTATGAGGTGCCACCGACAATTATACATCTCATCCAACAGCTGTACGACAATGCTGCATGACAAGTAATCCACAACGGGAAACTTACGGAATCCTTCGAAGTGAGGACAGGAGTAAGACAAGGCTGCCTACTATCGCCAATGATTTTTCTGATTGCAGTAGATTGGATGATGCGACAAACAGTAGGCAATGAGGAAACAGGCATAAAATGGACTCACACAAAACACTTGGAGGATCTGGACTTCGCCGATGATATATGTCTGATTTCCCACAAACTGGAAGATATCCAAGCGAAAAGCAACAAGTTGGCAGAAGAAGCATCAAAGATAGGAAAGTCTTCAAGTGAACATAGAGAAAACAGAGGTGATGAAGATTCCTGGACAATACCAACAGCAGCAACAAAAACAACAGACAACACTCAGCATAAATGGAAGGAACCTGAAAGAAACAACCTCCTTTACCTACCCTACCTGGGAAGCATCGTTTCAACTACAGGCCGACGGAACTGACGAGGATATCAAAGCAAGGATCGGAAAAGCAAGACAAGCTTTCACTACTCTCAAGTCTGTGTGGAGGTCAACAACACTCATCATCAAAAATAAGATCCGGATTTTCAACTCCAATGTGAAGTCAGTCAGTGCTACTATACGGATCAGAGACTTGCACTGCGCGTCATAAAGAGCATCTCAAACAAACTACAGACCTTCATTAACAGTTGTCTTCGTTCAATACTCAAGATCAGATGACTGGCCAGAAAAGATTAGCAACAGGGATCTCTGGGAGCAAACCAACCAGGAACCGATTGTAAAACAAATAGGCAGGAAGAAATGGAGATGGATTGGCCATACTCTGAGGAAACCATCAAGTGACATTTCACGACAGGGCCGTCGCTTGAGTGGAACACGAAAGGGAAGCGGCGAGTTGGTTGTCAGTGCAAGAGTGACATGGAGGAGGTCATGTGAAGAGGAGATGAAAACGTGTGGACAGACTTGGAGCCAGGTGAAGACTCTAGCAGAGAACCGAACGCAATGGAGATGCATGCCTGAAGCCCTATGTTCCTCTAGGAATTAAAGGAAACAATGATAATAATGAGTCTGTGTAATTTGACTAGAATACGCCTCCAAAACACGACACTAGTACCAGTTGGTCACTTGAGATTATTTACCGCACTAAAATAGACATAAATGTCGGACCCAGGGAAAACTACGGTCGAAACAACAACAGCAACATAAATCCAGTAAGACTCCGTTCATAGCGTATTCTGGTGACAGGGTTATTAAATTCTGTGAAAACAATCCTAAATTCTAGTACAATTAGTCAGATTTGTTATATTTGTAGCTTAAATTTCCAAGGATTTGCAAATCATGTATTTTGTCTAATAAATCAGGTTGCATGACATCGAAATCCCTCAGAAAACTAAGCCATTAATGGACGAATCAAAACTGCCCAATAATGTTATTAGGTCAGTAAATGCATAAATAGCAGCCTTACAATACACCTTATACTAGTGATAGATTTTCGAAACCTTCATTCCACTTCTGGTTAGATGAAATTCAAGATGCTGACCAAATTGTTTTTCAGATTTTCTTAACACAGATGCCTGTTACAAAGACTCCACTCTTTGTTTTTTCGAGGTAAGACAGAATTAGATATTGACTCATTTTCAGCGTTATTCGTTCAGAATTTTCACAAGGAAGGAAACATTTCCTGAGAAAATATTACGGGG